AATAGATTTAAATTAAGAATTGAGAAAAGAAAGAAGAGACGGTGCGGCTGTCTACGTGCATGCACGATGAGTATGTTACTCACCTTCCAAGAAACACAGGGATCGCAACTGTGTGAAAAGCGGTGCAAAAAGCTGTGGCAAACAAGCATAGGGCAGAGATGCTGCAAACCCATTAAGCCTTGCACGGCGTATAAAATCCATCAAAATTTTTGTAAAAAGAAAGCGCAGAATCTGAAAAATTAAGCTGAGCAGAGCAACACATTCACATGCAAACATGTAGTAGATTTTTGATTTTATTAAATACATTGAGTGTGGTATAGGGAGATTTGATTGTGACATTTCTCAACAGATAAGAAATCACACTGCTCAGTGCTTGGAGAATCATTTAAAAGATAATTCAAAATCTTTATCTCAGATTGATGAGTCGTTGTTGAGATTGAACAACACATGTAAAACTTTCTTGGCTGATCATCCAGACATAATTATAACAAGAGCTGATAAAGGTAATGCTAGCGTGGCGCTCGACAAGAATGTATACGTTTCGAAAATGAATGACTTACTGAATGATACGGACACTTATATTGTCATTAATAAGGATCCCACGTCAAAAATATGTAGAGAGCTCAATGACATTCTAAAACGGTGGCAACGAAATAATTACATCTCTGCTTTAACGAAACGTTCGCTTTACACCAGTGACGGTGTGCTACCTAGAGCATATGGTTTACCGAAGATCCATAAATCCGGCTTCCCTTTAAGAATCATCGTGTCTTCCATAAATAGTCCTCTCCATAAGTTTGCCACTTTCCTACATAATTGCCTTCATGAAAACCTTCCTCTTTCTAATAGTCATATTGCCAATAGTTATGAGCTTGTCGACAAAATTAATTATTTCCATGTCGATGACCGTCTTAAATTAGCTTCATTAGATGTCGTTTCGTTGTTCACAAATGTGCCTACAGACTTGATTGTGGACAGTGTGACAAAACGTTGGCAATATCTTGAGAACAAAATCAAGATCCCGCTCTTAGAATTCTCTATTGGCCTTAAGCTGGTACTGAATTCTACTTTTTTCAAATTCAACGGGAAGATATATAAGCAAATTTTTGGGACTCCTATGAGTTCTCCCCTCTCCCCCGTTTGTGCAGATCTAGTCTTACAAGATCTTGAGGAAAAAGCCAGGTCACAATTACCTTTTCATCTTCCTTTTTATTTTAGATATGTGGACGACATTGCCTTGATTGCTCCTTCTTCCTCCTTTGATCTTATCATGAATGTCTTTAACTCGTTCCATCAGAGGCTTAAGTTCACGATAGAAATCCCCGAGAATGACCGTCTCAATTTTTTAGATGTCACCATCATAATTGAAGACAATCACATTGAGTTTGATTGGTATATGAAGCCTACTTTCTCTGGGAGGTTTTTGAATTTTTACTCGCAGCATCCTCTAGCTCATAAAAAAGGTGTCATAATTGGCCTTACGGACAAAATCTTTAAACTGTCTAACCCACGTTTTCATGAAAAAAATTTTAAGCTGATAATTGAGTTGCTCCTGGATAACGGTTATCCCATCAATTTCATTTTTTCTACCATCATTAACAGAATTAAATCGCTTATCCATAACAACCTTGCTCCTCCACTTTCCTCAACCTCTGACACCTCTAAATCGTTCTTCGTCATTCCGTATATCAAGGGAGTCTCTGAGCACTTTAAAGATGTTGCGAGCAATTTAAATAAGTCTCTCGCCTACGCTGTTCCCAATAAATTGAACCGCTTTATTAAAGCACATAAAGACCAACTTCCAAGGGAGAATCTTTCTAATGTGATCTATAAGGTCCCTTGTTGTGACTGCACGGCATCCTACGTTGGACAGACCGGTAGACAATTGAAGACCCGTATGAAAGAACATCGGTCTAATATTAATGGTTCGTCCGAACAGTTATCAGTAGTTTCCCTCCACAGACTAGAGGGACATGAGTTTGATTGGAATGAGGTGATTATACTGGATCGTGAGTCTTCCTTTATGAGAAGGTCAGTTTCTGAAATGATTCACATCATAAGACAAGACAATAGCTTGAATGTGCATAGAGACACCGAAAAATTTGATAAGATTTATTTGCCGATTATTAAATCATTATAATTGGAGCTGCCGCCCTGAACATTCTATTCTTGTTTTCCATTATATCTATTTATCCGCTCCTGTATTTCTTTTGCCTGCCCCCCCCTTCCTCCCTGTCTTCGGTATGCCGTACATTTCGATAACTCGCAATTTCAGTACGCAGCGAGATCCCGCATGACATACACGCTGTTTCCACGTCTCAAAAATCTTAACTGATTTTAAGTGCTACCATTTACATTAACATTATTATTTGACGGCTTTCGAACACCTGTATGTATTTTCTATGAGCTTCTCTAGATATTCTCTATTAATCTTGCTTTCTTTATGTAATATTGCGATATTTATTTCCTTCATTTGACAATTTTTTTAACGGATAAAGAATCTCTTATTCTCAACATTTCAATAATTTTGCTTCATCAATATTATAAAGCTCTGATTAACTAAATTTTCAATTTATCCGCACTCACTACATATTTCTATGTGTACAGAATTTTTGACTTTTTTATGATGGACTATTTTATTATTAACTATGTTATAACGTTTTTTCAATTTTATGTCTTTTGAAAAGATTCTTTTTCTGTATGATTTTTGGACTTAATTGCTTTGGCTACTACATGTTTGCATGTGAATGTGTTGCTCTGCTCAGCTTAATTTTTCAGATTCTGCGCTTTCTTTTTACAAAAATTTTGATGGATTTTATACGCCGTGCAAGGCTTAATGGGTTTGCAGCATCTCTGCCCTATGCTTGTTTGCCACAGCTTTTTGCACCGCTTTTCACACAGTTGCGATCCCTGTGTTTCTTGGAAGGTGAGTAACATACTCATCGTGCATGCACGTAGACAGCCGCACCGTCTCTTCTTTCTTTTCTCAATTCTTAATTTAAATCTATTCATTACATTCGTTTGTCTCTCAACATCAATTTTAAAATGTAACGAATCATAAATTCTCTCTTTTTTGCGTTCGACGTTGTCAACTCTTTTTTGTACTCTGACCTTTATTATTTACTGTATTGTTATAAGCTATTGCGAGCGACCGATTTGAACTTTTTCATGTAATATGTTTTTATAATCTTCGATATCAGCATTGAGAAGGTCCTGGAATAGGACGAAACGTATGCGAGCACGAAATTGTACATGTTATGACATTATAGACATGAATATTAAGGATTAAAGTTTAAGTTTATTTTTCTTAAATTTTTATTTGCATAGTACACCTTTGCCGTAGCAGTAATCTTTGCCTAAATTAATAGATTAATTTTTAGTGTTACTTAATACCTGCTACTCTCATAAGAATTTTAATAACAAATTTATTTTTAATTTTTTAATTTATATTGTGGTCGTACGCGTGCGGTCCACGGATCACCCGGATAAAAAAAAAAAAGAAAGGTTAATGGTCCGCCAAGCCGTCGTTAGACCAAATGTAAGTCGGAGAAGGATAAGATATAAGATAAAGATATTTGGAAGTCACCAATGAAACAAAGTTAGTCGTATTAAAATATTCTCGCTGTCTTTATTCGCACCGACATTCCACAAGAATCCAAACAGGCTCGCAGCCCTAAGCGCCCGGACAACTCACGACAATGCTCCTAATACTCGGAACTCGATAATTAAATCTCCTGAACGCGACGTCTGTACTCCGTTACGTTTCGGAGGCGAAGCCCCTAATTTTTCTCACGGGGCACTGTGGCGCGAGATCTCCCACTAACTCTCCATCAGCTGTGGCAGATTTTAATTGGCTAGTTCTCCGTATTCAAAGGTAAACGGCCGATCTTCGCGTCAACAAGTTTTCGTATGACACGTCACGCTTCGTCAAAATATACATCCGACAATACGAAACAACAATAGCCTGCCACGGCCGATCGACCTTCTCGAAACTTCTAGATTTAACTACTCGCTTGTAAATATGAAAAGTCCGCTGATCTATTTCAAATGTAAAATTTCAATTTTCGATCTCGCTGAGACTGCAATTAGTTTCAAGGGTCGCCACAGCACCCCCCCTGCCAGTGATGTACTATCACGAAAAATAAAGGTAACTGTGCGAGATCGCGGTAGGAAGCAAAGCAAAAATGTTCGAAGCTTTATGGTCTTAAAGTTTATTCATTCTTAGTCTAGATACAAATAAAAGAAAGTCAAACAAAACTCACTATTTCTAAATTATATATTTATTAATGCTCTGCGGCGATAGAGCGAGGAGAAAACGCTGCTATTTTCTCGAGGAAAGCGAAGAAATACGACCGGGCCGCGAGCGACGGACTCCAGAAGGCAGCGAGAACTTCTGGCTTTTGTTAATAATCTTTGAGCGGAGTAACACACTACGGCTTCGAGATACAAAATCAAGTCGACGATGACGGTCGTGCGAAGAGGTTTATATAGCAACATAATACGAGAAGTTGCTCGAATTTTCTAGACCTCGAATATTCTGGTCTGTTTTATTTGTTTATCCTTCCCAAAGTCAAAATCCGTTTATTTTCCCGATGTTGCTATTTGTCACTCTCTTCGGGCGACCGTTGACAGAAAAGGCGTTAATAATTTGAAGCACAGTGTCGCGCTCAGATTCGTGGAGATTTTTAAGCGCCGCGCGCGCGCGGGTCGCTGCCGCTTGGCGTGTGAAGCGCGGCTATTACGATTGCGATCGCGAAATGCTGTGCCCATTTTTTGGCAGATCCGTTCAATTTTGAACATTCCGCCCGCCTCGTATGGGGACCTATACGATCAAGAAGACTCTTTCAGATTGATGTCGGCGAAGTTAAGGTACCATGTGGTGCGCGAGTGGGTAAAGCGTGATTATGTTTCCTGGTAGTACTAGGTATACAACGGTAGGTACGCTAAGTTTAGTTGTCGTAGAGGACTGATTAATCGAAAAAAAAAGTTTTTTTTTTTTTTTAAGATTCGCCGTCTTCTCTGGCGCCGGAGCTGACAGGGAGGAGCACTAATTTTGTTACAGGTCGCGTTAGGTTTCCGGTGGAAGTGCGAACGCGGACGACTCGAGTGTGTCCGTCTCCCCCGGGGTAGACGCTTTCGATTCTGGCTAGGGGCCATTTGTTGGGAGGTGAGACTTCGCAACGGAGCAGACAAAGGCGGCCGATGCGGACTTCCTCGTCGGCCTTGTACCACTTCGGTCGATGTGTTAGAGAGTGGAGATATTCTCGTGTCCATCGGGTCCAGAAGCTGTCTCGCATTTGACCAAGCAGCTTCCACCTGGTGAGTAGCGACTTAGGCCCTTCCGTCAGTGGTGACGTCGGGATGGCGTTGAGCGCCGTGCCTACGAGGAAATGGCCAGGGGTCAGCGCCTCTAGGTCCTCTGGGTCGTCCGACATGGCTTGAAGTGGGCGAGAGTTTAGGCAGGATTCAATCTGTGCTAGAAGTGTGGCCATCTCCTCGTAGGTTAATTTGGCGTCTCCGATCACACGGCGAAGGTGATGCTTCACCGATTTGACGGCTGCTTCCCAGAGACCGCCGAAGTGAGGAGCGGCTGGCGGATTAAAGCACCACTCGATTCTTTCATCTGCTAGGCGAGTGCGGATTTGTCGTCCTTCTTTGCTGTTGGCGGAAAAAAGCGCTCGAAGTTCATTATCGGCGCCTACAAAGTTCGTTCCGCGGTCACTGTAGAGGACTTTACATAGGCCGCGACGGCTGATGAACCGACGTAGAGCGCCCAAGAAGGCATCGGAGGTATAGTCGGAAGCGACGTCAAGGTGGACCGCGCGGCAACTAAGACAGACAAAGATTACTAGGAAGGACTTATACGCACGATGACCTCGGCCCTTGGAGGTGCGTAACCAGACAGGTCCAGCGTAGTCTACGCCAGTGTGCAGAAACGGCCGTGATGGTATGACTCTGGGAGCAGGCAAGTTACCCATTGGTGGTTGAGGGGTAGCCGCCCGCCATCGCACGCACGGCAGACAGCGATGAATAAAGCTCTTCACTAAAGCTCTCCCGCGTAACACCCAGTACTCCTGGCGCAGGGCGGCCAGGGTAAGCTGCACTCCTCCATGCAGTGTCCGCAGGTGGGTGGCCTTGATCAGCAGCTGCGTCAGATGGGAGGCGCTTGGTAGTAAGGTCGGGTGCTTCGCCTCGCGTGTCATCGCCGCATTGCTCAGCCGTCCGCCGACGCGAAGAATACCCTTGCTGTCTAGAAAAGGTCCTAGCTTGGCTAGCGGGCTTTTTTTCGGAAGTGGAACGGCTCTTTGCACGAACTTTAACTCCTTCTTAAAGTTGATCGCTTGGACCACCCGAATCCAGCCAGCCAACGCCTCATCCAGTTCGGAAGGTAGCAGTACGGGCGCTGGGAGGTTGCTACTGCCTCCCGGCTCAATGCCCTTGGTCTTCCTAAGGCGTAACCAACGGCGGCACCAGGCGGTGATCCTCACTAGGTGGTGGAGCTCGGAGTATTGCGTCAGAAGCTCCGGTTCATCGATCGAATCATCGGCCGCAGTAGTTTGATGTACGCCGAGACGCCGCTCAGGCAGGTCGACGCCGTGGGTGCTAACAGGGCCGAGCGGCCATTGTTCCGGATCTCCTTGCAACCAGCGCGGGCCGTTCCACCAGAGTGGATGGCCTTTCAGCTCCGAGGGAGACAGGCCTCGGGAAGCACAGTCGGCTGGGTTGTCTACTCCAGGAGTGTGATGCCATGCGACGTCGGGTAACGTGGTCTGGATCTCGCTGACCCTGTTAGCCACGTAGGTCTTCCAGGATGCTGGGTGGCCTCGGATCCATCCTAAGACGACGGTTGAGTCGGTCCACAAATGTGTCGGAGTGGCCAAGGCGTCCAGAGCAAGTCGGATGTGCGCGACGAGCCGTGTCAGCAGAGTAGCGGCGCACAACTCCAACCGAGGTAAGCTAACCTGCTTAAGAGGAGCGACTTTAGTTTTAGCTGAGAGAAGAGATACCTGGACTTGATTGTTTTTGTCTCGTGTTAGCAGGTATACTACGGCGGCGAAAGCCTTCTCCGAAGCGTCGGCAAAGCCATGAATTTCCGGATTACTGTCAGTCGGCTCAGACTTTAACCAGCGAGGAATCCGGATGTCTCCTAGGTGTGGGAGCTCCGACTGCCAGCCTCTCCATTGATGGGCGTCATCCTCGGGTAAGGGGTCATCCCACTCGACGCCTCGCAACCAGGCGGCTTGGATCCAGATTTTTGCCCGTACCGTCACGGGGGAGAGCCATCCCAACGGGTCAAACAATCTGGCTGTCAAGGAGAGGACGGTGCGTTTTGAGAGGACGTCCGGCTGAGTAAACGCTGCTGAAAAGGCAAAGTAGTCCTCGTGAGAGTGCCAAAGCAAGCCCAGAGTAGAGTGACTTTCCCCGGGTTGCCACCACCGCGGTTCACGTAGCAGCCGGTCCTCGCAGGGTACATCGCTGAGTAGAGCGGCATCGTTGGCGGACCATTTTTTAAGCGGGAAACCGCCCGCCCTGCAGATTCCGGTCAGCTGTCGGAGAAGTTCCTTGGCTTCTTTGATCGTAGACGTGCCTGTGAGGACGTCGTCCATATAAATATCCTTGAGAAGGGCAGTGGCGCCGAGCGGGTAGCTCGACTTCTCATCGTGGGCAAGCTGGTGCAGCGTGCGGATCGCCAGAAATGGTGCGCAGGAGAGGCCGTAAGTTACCGTTTTTAATTGGTACTCCTGGATGTTTTCCTTAGGGCTTGATCGCCACAGTATTCTTTGCAGATCTCTGTCTTGTTGATGGACTTCGATCTGCCGGTACATCTTTTCAACGTCCGTGGCGAGGACGTAGCGATGGCGACGCCATCGAAGGAGCACGTCAGCTAAAGTCGGCAGCAGGTTGGGTCCGCAGTGAAGATGTTGATTGAGAGAAGAGCCCGTTGTCACGATCGCTGAGCCATTAAAGACTACGCGGAGCTTGGTCATGACGCTAGATTCCCGCAGGACCCCGTGATGAGGTAAATAGCAGACTGTCGTGCCGTTCGCTGGAGTTTGTACCGGCAGCATGTGGTCGAGCTCCATGTACTGCTGCATGAATTCTCGATAAAGAGAGTAGAAGGCGGGATCCTTAATGAAGCGACTTTCCATTCGTTTCAGAGCGCGAAGAGCTATGCGACGAGTTCCGGAGAGATCGGGCATTGATGTTGCTAGAGGCAGCCGCACACCATACCGACCGTCGGGCTTCCGAAAGTGAGTGCGGACGTAGTGGTCCTCGCACTCGACCTCAGCCTTGGAGAGAGCAGATGTAGCGGGTGGAAGCTCCTCCTGTTCCCACAGGCGTCGCACCATCGCGGAGAGGTCGTCATCCACTTGGCATTGGTGAGAGCGCATTGTTGCGGGGGAAGGTCCGCTTTCGGCAGCGCCGGAGAGTATCCATCCTAATTTTGTGTTTTGCACTACAGGTTCGTGACGAGTACCCTTCCGTAGGCCAGGCAAGAGGATTTCGCCATAAACGTCGGCGCCTAGGATGAGATCTACTGGATCCTCAGCACTGTAGTCAGGATCGGCGAGTAGTACTCCTTGGAGGTGCGGCCAAGTCCTGGAGCCGAGCGTGCTTGCGCCGGAGTAGGCAGTGAGTTGGCGCGGAAGAACCAGAGCGGTTAGTTGGATCGTAGGACGCTCACTCCGAGGAGCCATGGTGAGCGTGACTCGACTCCGCGATGTGCTTGTCTTCTGGCCGCCGACTCCGTACACTGCGACCCTTACCGGAGAGCGAGGTAGATTTAACTTTCCCACAAGCCGATGAGAAATAATAGACGATTCGGAGCCTTGGTCGAGTAGGGCACGAGCGGGGTGCCAATTACCGTATCGGTCGGCTACGCGAACGCGCGCGGTTGCCAGAAGGACGGAGGAGAGAGTTCCGTTTTTTCGCAGGGCTACGTTCGTGCTTGTAGCGGAATCGCTTTCCCGGAACGCGTCGTGCAAGGAAGTATGGTGCCGATTTCCACACGCGGTGCAGTTTTTCTTTGAGCAACAATCTTCCACCTTGTGGCGCCCGAGACAGTTGGTGCACAAGTTATGGTTCTCAATGTGCTGCTTGCGATCGGATGCGGTTTTCTTCCTGTAGGAGTCGCATAACATGACAAAATGGTCTTTCTGACATAGAGAACAGCGTCCGCGTAGTACCTCCGGCTTCGCCTCCTGCTTTCGCGCGTGATGGCTCCGCGTCGTCTTCGGCTCTGACTTTGAGAGCGTACGATCAGCCTTATTAACCGGCGACATCGACTCAAGAGTGTGCAACCGTCGCTCGAGAAATTGTTCGAGAACCTTGTATGAGGGAGGTTCTACCGAGTCACTAATGGAGTTTTCCCACTCCCGACGGGAGCGGGTGTCGAGCAACTCGACCGCGAGGTAAACGAACAAATCTTCGCAGCTTGAGATCGGCCGATTTATGCTCTCGAGCGAGCTGACTTACCGACTTTACTCCGTGGAATATCTTGCGTAATTCCTCTGCCGATTCGGTTTTTATCTTTTGAAGCGCGAAGAAATTCGAGAAATAGGCACGCACTAGGAGTCTCTTATTTTCATAGTACGCGCTTAGCGTTTCCCAGGCTCTAGTAAAATTCTCGGACGTCGTAGATAGATCGCGGATCAATAATTCGGCTTCGCCCTTCAAACAGGTTTTCAAATAATGCAATTTTTCTACTTGCGTTATAGAGGCATCCCTTTCAATAATGGAGTTGAAGAGATCCCTGAAGGCTGGCCAGTCTTCGTACTTCCCTGAGAAATGCGGCAACTGGATCCGCGGCAGCGTAGTGCGAGGGGGGTGGGATGGCAAGGAGTCGACTCCCGCCGCTGCTCTCGCTTCCCTTTTGTTATATCCCTGGAGGAGTTCCAGGAGAGCGCCCTTTTGCTGCAGGTAGGCTTCCTCGGCCAGAAAAGGTAAGTCCTGCTTGTAATACTCATGGTCTAGAAGCACGTCTCGGTGAGGAAAGAGCTCATCGTCCTGTTGATCGAACTTGCTCCACTTTTTTTCCAGACCCTGCAGGCAAGCCTCGACGACCCCTTGAGTGGTTTTTGCAGTCCCCATTTTACGGAGATTCTCGCCAGTGCGAGCGATCTTTCCGAAAAGATTTATTTGAGCGTCCGCTAATTTCACTATCTCGACACTCATAGTCACTTGCTTCCCTTTCAGGCGGTAAACTCCGAAGCACAGAGGAAGCGCACGTGAAGACCGGATCACGCACTGCACAAGCACGGCACACCCGGAAGAGAATATCCGGCTCGAAGGACCAAAAAATGTGCGAGATCGCGGTAGGAAGCAAAGCAAAAATGTTCGAAGCTTTATGGTCTTAAAGTTTATTCACTCTTAGTCTAGATACAAATAAAAGAAAGTCAAACAAAACTCACTATTTCTAAATTATATATTTATTAATGCTCTGCGGCGATAGAGCGAGGAGAAAACGCTGCTATTTTCTCGAGGAAAGCGAAGAAATACGACCGGGCCGCGAGCGACGGACTCCAGAAGGCAGCGAGAACTTCTGGCTTTTGTTAATAATCTTTGAGCGGAGTAACACACTACGGCTTCGAGATACAAAATCAAGTCGACGATGACGGTCGTGCGAAGAGGTTTATATAGCAACATAATACGAGAAGTTGCTCGAATTTTCTAGACCTCGAATATTCTGGTCTGTTTTATTTGTTTATCCTTCCCAAAGTCAAAATCCGTTTATTTTCCCGATGTTGCTATTTGTCACTCTCTTCGGGCGACCGTTGACAGAAAAGGCGTTAATAATTTGAAGCACAGTGTCGCGCTCAGATTCGTGGAGATTTTTAAGCGCCGCGCGCGCGCGGGTCGCTGCCGCTTGGCGTGTGAAGCGCGGCTATTACGATTGCGATCGCGAAATGCTGTGCCCATTTTTTGGCAGATCCGTTCAATTTTGAACAGTAACAGTAAAAAAAAAATAAAGAATATAAGAAAAGGTAAAGAATACTAAAGTCATCCGCATAAAAGACAGCCATAAAATAGTATAAGCATAATAAATTGAATACATAAAACGAACAAAATAAATAGAGTAAACAGACTGGTATGGAATAGACGCGAAACAATTAAAATAAATAGTTGAATATTGAAATAAATAGTTAAAATCTCAGCGTTTACAGAAAAATAATATCGCTGATATACTGTCTCGCGAATGAATGATATATTTCGCGTTCGTCCTAGCCTCCGACTTGGAGACGGTCTGGAAAATGAATTCTTCTCCCCGATTGGGTCGTCCTCTCCGCTTGGACGGGAAGGTTCGGGTCTTCGCTTGTGCCTTCGTCCCCGTCAGTAATGGGCTCGCCAGCTATCGGCCCCGTGTCGTCGCCATCGTCCGCAGCTAGTATATAAGCCGGCTTTAGACGATCTATGGACACGGTCACATCTTTTCCCTGGATCCGCACCACGAACGTCTTGGCCGTCCGGCTGATCACCTCATACGGTCCATTGTACGGAGGCTGCAAGATCGATTTTGGCCCGTCATGGCACACGAACACGTGTCTGGTCGTTCTCAAATCCCTGAAAACAAAACCCTTATATTCTCCGTGCGGAATGCTCGCGACCGGGCGCAACTCGTCGAAACGCCGGCGCAATTCTTTAATAAACTCAGCGGCGTCGTCCGAATTGTTTAATTGTTTGGTCAATAGTTGTCCAGGAAGTCGGAGCGTTTCCCCGTATACGAGCTCCGCTGCCGTCGCTCGTATGTCCTCCTTCCACGCTGCCCGCATTCCAAGGAGAACGGTGGGCAAGCTCTCCGTCCAGCGGTCGCCCCCATAGCATCTGATTGCGGCCTTTAATTGCCGGTGGAACCTCTCCACCATGCCATTTGCCTGTGGATGGTACGCCGTGGTCCTCAAATGTGTCGTTCCGAGCATGACGTTCAACTGTTTGAAGAGACGTGATTCAAATTGTCGCCCTTGATCGGTTGTGATACGGAGAGGCGATCCGAAGCGACAGATCCACCCCTCGTATAAAGTTCTGGCCACCGTCTCTGCTTCCTGGTTTTCCATTGGCCACGCTTCTGGCCATCGCGTGAACCGGTCCACGCACGTGAGACAATATCTCCGGCCCTCCGACACCGGCAGCACTATTATGTCCACGTGGATATGCTCAAAACGTTTGGACGGCGGCATGAACGTTCCCCTCGGCGCGGACACATGGCGGGTAATCTTTGCTCTCTGGCACGGCACGCAAGAGCGAGCCCACTCACGGCAGTCCTTTTTTATCGACGGCCAGACATAACGCTGCGTCATGGCCCTGACCGTCGATCGAATTCCCGGATGGGCCAAACCGTGCACCGCCTGGAACGCCGCCCGACGAAAGGCCTTCGTCAAGAACGGTCGCGGCGTCGGCGTCGCGGCGTCACAGTACACGGCCACCCCCGCTCCGGGTATCCCAATTCGCTCGAGCCTCAATGATCCCTCGCGCCGATACATCTCGAGCTCCTCATCTCCATCCTGAGAAGCGGCCAGTTCCTCGTAGTTTACCGGCGACAGCACCTCCTCGACTCTGGATAGCGCATCGGCCACGACGTTGTCGCTTCCCGATACGTGCCGTATGTCGGTGGAAAATTGTCCGATGAAGTCGAGATGTCGAAATTGGCGTGGCGAGCACTTGTCTGGTTTCTGTTTAAAAGAATAAATAATAGGCTTGTGGTCAGTAAATATGATAAAATTGCGTGCTTCCACCATATGGCGAAAGTGTTTAACCGCCAGATATATCGCGAGTAACTCCCTGTCAAAGGCGCTATATTTTCCTTCCGTTGGGCTTAACTTCTTCGAGAAGAAGGCTAAGGGCTCCCATCCATCCTCGCCCCGTTGCTGCAGCGCCGCTCCGACGCTACTGTCGGACGCATCGGCGAATATCGCCAGCTCGGCGTCTATCTTTGGATGGGCTAACAGGGCAGCTCGCGCTAACTCGTCCAGAGTTGCTCGAACGCCCTTTCGACCCGCGGGGTCCAGGTTATTACGGCCTTTCCTTTTATTCCATCATGAAGAAGATTGTTCATTGGCGCTTGCGTTTCGGCGGCTCTGGGCAGGAATCTTCGGTAAAAATTCAGCATGCCCAGAAACCTCCTCAGGTCTTTAGCGGTACGCGGCATCCGGTACTCCGCGATCGCCCGCACCCGGGCAGGCAACGGACGGGTCCCCTCATCTGAAACTGAATAACCCAAAAACTCCACGTTTTTGCACCCGAATACACATTTCGCCGGATTTATTACGACGCCATAAGTTTGTAGCCGCTCGAATAATAATTTTAAATGTTTCAAATGCTCTTCTTTGGACGCCGATGCGATTAAAACATCGTCGATGTAGGCGTAACAGAAATCGAAACCGCACAGAACCTCGTCTGTAAAGCGTTGAAAAGTTTGCGCCGCGTTTCGGAGCCCGAACGACATATACGGGAATTCAAACATCCCGAACGGTGTAGTGATCGCCGTTTTCGGCACGTCCTCCTCTGCAACGGGTATTTGGTGGTAAGCCCTGACGAGATCGATTGTGGTAAAAATCTTTTTACCTTGCAATGCCTGAGCGAAATCTTGAATGTGACGCACCGGATAACGGTCAGGAATCGTGCGCGCATTAAGTGCTCGGTAGTCGCCGCAAGGTCTCCACTCTTCGCCTTTTTTCTGGACCATGTGTAACGGCGATGACCAACAGCTCTTCGATGGTCTAGCTGTTCCGAGCTCCAACATCTTCTGAAACTCCCGCTTCGCGGCTCTCAGGCGATCCGACGCCAACCTCCGCGGCTTACACGCTACAGGCGCCCCGGGTGTTGTCTCAATAAAATGTCGCGTGTCATGCTTACTCTCTTTCGGGCGACCTTTGGGCCTCGTCAAATCGGGATATCGCCTCAGTAACGAATGATACAATGTTTCTCCCGTAACGGTCCTTATACTAGGCTCCTCGCACCGACGGCAACGCCCGGGCACCGTAAGACTCGTCATCTGGTCAACCAGGCGCCGATTCCGCAAATCCACCAGCAACCCGTAAAATGCCAGGAAATCTGCTCCGATTATTGGTCTTGATACGTCCGCGACCGTAAATCGCCATAAAAAATTGCGCCGTAAGCCGAGATTCAACATTAAAGTTTCCGTCCCGTACGTATTAATAATCGTGCCATTCGCCGCCGAAAGCTCGTAGGGCGCCTTCTGCCGCGGGCCCCGAATTTTCTTCCGGGGAAACACGCATAGGTCAGCCCCGGTGTCCACTAAAAAGTCTACCCTGGAATACAAATCCGTTACGAAAAGGCGACGGGTCGGCCGGCCCATGTCGCTCATCGCCATTAGCGATCGGCCGACGCATTTCCCGCCTGAGCCGGACGGTACTCGCACGGCGGCACGCATTGATGTGCATTGGGCCCCCATCGCCAGTGGTACCAGCAGAGCCCGTTTGACGAGTGACCGCGATCCCGCGTCCGCGAGCGCGAGCGCGAGCGTGAGCGCGACCGGTAGCGCTCCCGACGGCGACCGCCGTCGGCACCCCCATCGCCCGATCCGCCGGCCGCGATCACCTCAATCGATCTCCTTATCGCTCCCAGCTGCTCCTGCATTTCTTGCTGCCAAGTTAATCTCATCTGCGCCAATTGTACGTTAATTTTCGCCTCGATTGCCGTTATTCCGCCGGCCGCGTCTCCTGGCATTGCCGGCGCTCGTGCGGCCTCCGCCACCTGAAAAACGGGCGCTCTCGTGGCCTCGACTATCGCATCCGCAATATCGGCGAGCTGATCCAACGTATCCGCCGTCCGCGTCACCAGGTGCGGCTGAATATTAGCCGGTAACCGGCTCAACCAGACGGTCCGCAGAATTCCGTCTCCGACTACGTTTCCCGCCAACGCGCGTAGGTGACGTAAAAATTGAGACGGTTTGCGATCCCCGATTTCCTCATGTTCAAGTAACCGGCGCGTTTTATGTTCCTGCGACAAGCTGAGGCGCTTTATTAACTCTGCGCGCAAGGTCTCGTATGCCTGTTCGGCCGGCGGATTAATTATTACGTCACGCACCTCGACCGAATATTTAGAACCGAGCGCGGTTATCGCGTATCCAAACTTTGTCGCGTCCGTTGTTATGCCGGCGGCTTGAAAACTGCGATCGAGTATCTTAAACCAAAGTTCCGGATCAACTGGAGTGAATTCCGGAACGCGCATGCCAACTCGACCCACCTCCGCCCCGGCGCCGCAAAACACAGGTGCCTGCTCGACCGCGACCGGCGGTGCGGGTTGTCCCTGCAGCTGCAGCAAAGATGCTGCATGGCTTACCGGGGTCGGAGTCAACGGGCCATCCTCGCGCGTGATCACCATCGCGTCTCGTACCAATGTCTTCTTCCTGTGTCCGTGTCCGTGTCCACTTTTCACTGAGTCACTCACTCGCGTCACCGAATCAATCACGTCGGGATCACCACTTTTGTGGTCGTACGCGTGCGGTCCACGGATCACCCGGATAAGATAAAAAAAAAAAGAAAGGTTAATGGTCCGCCAAGCCGTCGTTAGACCAAATGTAAGTCGGAGGAGGATAAGATATAAGATAAAGATATTTGGAAGTCACTAATGAAACAAAGTTAGTCGTATTAAAATATTCTCGCTGTCTTTATTCGCACCGACATTCCACAAGAATCCAAACAGGCTCGCAGCCCTAAGCGCCCGGACAACTCACGACAATGCTAATACTCGGAACTCGATAATTAAATCTCCTGAACGCGACGTCTGTACTCCGTTACGTTTCGGAGGCGAAGCCCCTAATTTTTCTCACGGGACACTGTGGCGCGAGATCTCCCACTAACTCTCCATCAGCTGTGGCAGATTTTAATTGGCTAGTTCTCCGTATTCAAAGGTAAACGGCCGACAATAAGTTTTCGTATGACACGTCACGCTTCGTCAAAATATACATCCGACAATACGAAACAACAATAGCCTGCCACGACCGATCGACCTTCTCGAAACTTCTAGATTTAACTACTCGCTTGTAAATATGAAAAGTCCGCTGATCTATTTCAAATGTAAAATTTCAATTTTCGATCTCGCTGAGACTGCAATTAGTTTCAAGGGTCGCCACAATATGTTTTACAAGTTAGAAAATGGTATTATTGTTTAATTTATTTTTATTAATTATTTTTTAAGAGTAGATTGAAGATATTTAATTAATTCATCATCTGTAATGCATTTTTTAGAATTGCATCTATTAAGTAGTTAATGAATAATAGACATTTTTTCTGTAACAAATAAAAAAAATTTATTCAAAATAACATAAATGAAGTATTTCATATAATATTGTTTATTTGATCATTTTAATTTGTTAAATTTTTTTATATTAATAAAGAAAACTTATATTAAGAATATTTTTTTACAATTTTATATGTAACAGAAAAACAATTTCATTAGATCATAATAATAGGTCACCTTGTATATGTTTATAAAATAAAAATAATAAATAATTTCACAGTGTACTGTATGTTAATCGATTTATCGATTTACGTGACATATTTTATTGCAAATTTCACTATATTATAAGATTGCTATGCGATTAAAAAGTTGCTATGTAAATAAACATAAATAATTGATAGACGATTTGTTAATGATTTTCATTAGAAGTTTGCGAGACACGTAAGAGAGAAGTTGTGAAAGATATCAAGCTGAGAAAGATTAAACTTTATATAAAAGGTAATAAAATTCTTATTTTAAAATAATTATTTCATAATGATTGTTTATGTTTTATTTTTAACACATTTCACATATATTTATATTTCACACATATTCACATATATTTATTCTTTTAACATATTTACATTACTTACGTATTATTATACAGGTAATATTTTATAAATTATATTTATTTTTATTTATTCTATAACTATAAGATTAATATACAATTACGTGTGAACTACATTATATATGTAAATTTTTGTGATTTCTATAAATTTTTTTTGTTAAATCATATATTATTTATTTTTTTATAAATTACTGTTTTTTAAATTATACACTACATTAATTTTATTCGTAAATTATGAAATAATACAAAAAGTATAAATATAAATATTAATCTACACATAAATGTTAATCTATGCGAAAGTATAAATATTAGTCTATGCATTTGTGCTTATTATTACATAATAAAAAAAATATAATTCATAAAATATAACTCCATAATTGTTGATATTTTAATTAATAAAATAGTTTTAGAGTTATATTTATGTTTTCGTTCTTATTTTTAATATATACATAGAAGATACTGATAAATATTGAAAAAATGTAAATTAATATTAGGTGCGCAACTAAGTTCTCGCTGTTTTTTTGATGAAAATGCAACTTTATTGTGAAAAAATGGTTACAAATGAATCATTCAAAATAGTTGCCCATCGCTAGCTACAACTTTTTCCCATCTTTCTGGCAGAGCTCGAATACCATTACGGTAAAAGTGTTCATCTTTTGAGGCTATCCACGAATCAAGCCATTTTTTGATGTCTTCATATGAGCGGAACTGCTGATCAGCCAGACCATGTGCCATCGAACGGAACAAGTAATAATCGGACGGCGCAATATTTGGGGAATATGGCGGGTGGGGTAGGACTTCCCATTTGAGCGTTTCCAGGTAGGTTTTAACGGGTTTGGCAACGTGAGGCCGAGCGTTGTCATGCTGTAGAATCACTTTTTCGTGCCTCTGCTCGTATTATGGCCGTTTTTCGCGCAGTGCTCGGCTCAATCCCATCAATTGAAGTCGATACCGTTCCCCAGTGATGGTTTCGTTCGGTTTCAACAGCTCATAATAAATAACACCGACCTGTCCCACCAAATACACAGCATAACCTTCGCAGCGTGAATATTCGGCCGAGCCGACGACGTCGAAGCATGACCGGGCAGTCCCCATGACTTTCTTCTCTTTGGGTTGCTGTAATGAATCCATTTTTCATCACCCGTCACGATGCGATGAAGAAAATCCTTCCTTTTTTGCCGCTGGAGCAGTTGTTCACAGGCGAAAAAACGACGCTCAACGTCCCTTGGCTTCAAATCATAAGGAACCCAAGTTCCTTGCTTTTGAATCATTCCCAACGCATGCAATCGCTTGGAAATAGCTTGGCGGGTAACTCCTAATGTTGAAGCAAGCTCTTCTTGCGTTTGGCACGGATCCTCATCGAGCAATGCCTCCAATTCAGCGTCTTCGAAGGTTTTTGGCCTTCCTTCACGCGGACGGTCGTCAACATTGAAATCACCGTCTTTGAAGCGACGGAACCAATCACGGCACGTTGTTTCACTTCGAGCAGCATCTTTATAAACTTTTTGGAGCTCTCGATGCGCTTCAGCCGCCGTTTTCTTTGAATGAAAGAAGAAAATCAACACTTCCCGCAAATGATGATTATTTGGCACAAAATCAGACATTTTCACACAACCAAAAGTATATGACGCCAAAACAAAATCACTAATGTGTCAAAACGGTTTGTTTACCATATGTCTAAGCTTGGTTTATGACGTTTTGGATATGTCAAAATCGACCAGCACTTACTGCTGGAGCTATCTATTGACAAACAGCGGGAACTTAGTTGTGCACCTAATAAATAAAAACAATTAATAAATTTACATATTCTCTCATTAGAAATATAAAATTTTTGTTAAAAATATTTTTTGTTACTTACCTATAACATAACACAGGAAGAAAAATATGGAATGAAATTAATTGTTTAAAAGACATGTCGACGTCTATTATCCGAATGAAAACTCATTATTGAACTAACCAAAAATAAACAATTTTTTGAATATTGATTCTATAAACATCAATATATGAATAAATTTAATAATTAGTATACCATTTCCAATTTAATTTTTTTAAAAATATTTTAGCAATATTTTAATTGCTGGCAATTCTTATTTTGTATTTCTTACCTCAATATAAAAACTTTTATATAGCATTTTATTTTTATTTTTAAGTAGCTTCAGTTTGTTGATTTGACATAATTTTTAAACAAATTTGTTCGGAGATTGTTGCTATCTCATTTTGATCTAATAATCTTATAATATTCTTTAGCATATAAATTTTTTCAATTAAATGTGAATTAACGAGATATCTATCAGGAAATATAATATATTTGAAAATCATATTGTAATTCGGCAATAAAACTTCAAAAAATTTACGATTTCTTAGAAATCTAAGTAATTTCACTCCTACCCAAAAATAAATACTACTTAATATAACGTAAACAAATTATATTTTTCTTACGCTACACATATTTCTTGAATTTGATATTCAAATAAAGTTAAATGTCGATTGATTTCGTTGTATTAATTAAATTCGCATTCTCCCCTTTATTGTTTTTCATTATTGGCATGTTACATTTATATATCATGAACATACACTTTTACTTATTTCTTCATTCATAATCATATAATAAGTAATAATAAGTAATATGTAAATAATGAAAAACAACACAGAAGAAAAATAATAAATAACTGTTAATGGGTGCAAAAGCAATACAAAAACGCTTAACAATATAGAAATTCTTCTAATATTAGAAAAAATTTACTTGATAAATACTTTCTCCTATTCTGATAATATTAAACATGAGATTTAAGAATAGAAATAGTAGTATTACAATAATTAATAGATTGTTGATTTTGATAAAATTGATAAACAGATGCGCTTAAATTTATTTTATATTAATTTGTTGATTGTTCTATCATCTGAATGTATTCCATATTTCCTATGTATAAAATTTTTATTAATATATATATTATATGCGAGAAGACGTAAGAGAGAAATTGTGAAAGATTCAACTTTATATAAAAAGTATAATAAATTTCTTTTTTAATAATTTTTTAAATTATTTCATAAGTATTGCTTAAGTTTCATTTATAAAATATTTTACATATATTCTTTTAACACATATATTTCACATATACTTCACATATATTCTTTTAACATATTTATTTCACATATATTTATTTCTTTTAACATATTATTTATATTACTTATATAGCTACACAGGTGGTATTTTGTAAATATTGATTTATTTATTGTAGAATTTTATAAGATTAACGTATAATTACATGTTTACATAATTTTTATGTTAATTCTTGTGACATATATTTAAACATAAATTTCTTATAAATTTTCTTATTTTTATTAAACCACACATTATTTAGTTTTCATTAAAAATTACACACTATGTTAATTCTGTTCATAATTATTATTTGTAACTTTTTTCTTCTCTGTATCATTTTTTTTGTTAATTTCAGATTAAATTCTCTCAAATAATATAAATTTTTGAAATTATACGGATAATAAGTATAATTTATGAAAAGAATTTATATTAACAAAGTAATATGTCGGATATAGAAGAATTTTCTGAATTGGATGTGATGAATGTTTTAACTTCCAATGAAGTATTAGATGATATTCAAATTTATGATTCAACTGTGTAAGTACTAGGATTTTATTTTACTTCCTCTAATTGAAATTTAAAATACACATTGTTACAAAAATTTTTATGTTTTATTATTATTTTATATCTTTATTTTATATCTATTACTAATTATTATTATATCTTTATTTTATATCTCTCTTGCTATTTTTATATTCTTTGTTTTTATTATTAGTTCTACATATTTTGAACTGTAAATTGTATTTTACAATTTTGTGTAATTTACAATGTTGAGTGTCCCATTTTAAAAAACGCACTTCGATAATTCTTCAACGAAGCATTTTCAGCAAAAATGTTTCAGACAAATGTTGTATGGTTTTGAAGGGAACATAAGATGGTCATTGGATTGACCTTGGATAGTTACTTGAAGGTCAGGGCGAGGTCACCTTGAATTTTTTAAATGGAACTCCCTATTTTTTATTGCATATTCTCGTAGCTTGTTTCAAGAGCTTTTTAAAACACTATAATAGAGTATCTTTTTATTGAGTACTTTTCGAGTTATAAGATATCTGGTAAAATATTCTTTTTTCGATTATCTTACCTTAATACTTTTATGCACAAAGTAATGAGAGGAATCAACTGATATATAGAAAACACATAGTTGTTCTTAAGAAAAATATGTAACTATTAATTGCAAATTACACACTTTTTTTTAAGAACAACAACGTATTTTCTTTATATCAATGATTCCTCTCATTATTTTGTGCATAAAAGTATTGAGGTAACATCATCGAAAAATGAATATTTTACTAGATACTTTATGGTTTATGTAACATTTAGAAATTATTTCAAGCCTTATAACTTGAAAAATACTTAACGAAAAAGTATTTCATCAGTATTTTGAAAAGCTCTCGAGATAAGCTATAAGGATATGCAATGAAAAATGGGTTCCATTTAAAAAATTCAATGACCTCGTCCTGCCCTTAACAACGCCACCTAAGGTCAAACCAACGGTATCATCTTATTTCTCCCTCGAAGTCATAAAATTTTAGTCTGAAACATTTTCCTGTATCTTTTAGACTTTACGAAATATTTCGATGTGACAGTTAAAATAAAACATCCAGTATAATTTAATTTTTTTATGAAAACAGAAAATATTTGATTTATCCACTTCGAGGATATAGCCCGTAGATGAATCTAGCGCGATGAATGATACGTCAAAATTGGACACGTCGTCGAGCCATCGAAAATCGGCATAGGGCAACGGTTGACACATTGCCCATCCGTACAAATTTACATCAAAGTACATCAAGTACGATGATGATTTCGATGGATACGATTCCATGTGCTTGTTATTAGCGCGAGCGTATCCCCGAACATTGACTCAGACCACCGCGTATACCACGTTCGAACATAACCATGTCGATGTCTGTAAGCAACTCAAACGTGATCTTTGTATGCTTCAACATAGCGTCCCACGTGTATCCGGGGAGAGTATAGTAATACGCGGGGTCGAGTCCGTAACTTTCAATACATTTATCTCGAAAGTTTTCGAAAATGTCGGCTAACAACAAGACCATCGATTTTGAGGTATAAGTCGCTATATTCAACTAGCATCCGAATGAAGAATCGCATCCAGACGTTCTCGGCGTGCGCGTAATCACTCTCGGATACAATTTCACCGGTCAAGGAACTGTAAAATGATTCGCGCGGTGGTAAACATGTATCTTGCAACTTGCCAACGGAATCGATGTATTCGTACGGAAATACACCTTTTCGCGTTAACAAATTGAAATTTTCTGTAGATAAATTTTGAAATTCCGATTTTAAAATTTTGAGTTTGTCTTTGTCTAAAAATGATGCCAATTTACCGAGACTCGATGCGAGAAATTTGAATGAATCGATGAAACGTAATTTTATATGATTTTTTTATTGTTCTCCAATACAAACACTTTTGGTAAACGAAATATATTTTTCCTTGGTTATCGGTAATAACTCGACTTTCCCTTCGAACGCTGTGGCTATTTCCTCGATAATAAAGTGTGAATCATAACCGATAAATGGTAAAAAACTATCGGAATACAAAAAGATTCTTTATAATTTAAATTACAATTTGAATGCGCGGGACTTCTGTACCGCCCGGTCAGATGGCAATGATCGCGAACGCGTGTATCGTCTTGCGCGAACGGCTTTTCACATATATGACGTTGAGTGGCGTTACGGAATTTCTCCCATTCATCAGATGTTAAATTTACCATGGGGACATTTGTTTTTAAAATATTCTTAACGCGAATTGCTAAATTTTTAAGGTCTTCGGCGAACCATGTTATACAATCAACGCTACGACGCGAATGATACGCTGATAACGATTCATCGAACGAACAATGTACATAATTAGCTAAACTAAATATCCTATGATGTTGATACGCGTTTTTCTCTTCTTCCGTCTTGGTTAGGACACATTCTAGGTCGGCGTAGACCACAAATGGAAGTCGCTCCTTCCAATTAGGGTTGTTGTACGATAGCCACTTGTCTTTGTCGCTCGATAATCGGACAGCGCAATCGTTTAACTTTCCGCAGTCGACTGTATGCGACTGCAATTTGTCGTCTGAACTAAAATAATGAAGGCATCTGTAAAAGAAAAAAAATTTTAATTAAGATTTAAACAATCCATATTATAATTATATAAATTATAATTATTCAAATAATATAAAATAAACTCACCGGTCGCAGATATATTTGTGATTCTTGTGTTTGCTCAGTTGCGAGCTCACGAGCTTGGATAAATTCTTGATCCATGCAAAATGTCCCACGCTGTTATCATCTTTAATGTACAGCAGATTCACATGCTTATCCCGTTTCTGGTCCAAAAGAAGTATTGAGACAATATTCTTGTCTTCGATGCTATACACATTGATTGAAATGTCATTCGCATGTTCAAAATGTTTTATTTGGTTCACAGTCACTGGAAACTCAATGTCCCGGAGATTCAGCACTGTCGCGTAATGCGGGTACGATGATTTTCGTTCCGCGTTCCTTTCGGCGGGATACAAAGCGGCGACCACTGCCCACGCGAAACACGCATTGTCTTTTGATTGTACGTTAATCACCGCTCTCTTCATCATAATCTCCCGCGGTAATTTGATGTGACTTCCCGCGCGCATAGGATTGTACTTGTTAATATTTACAATTAAATTAAGTATTCGCGACAAGCCCACCAGCTATCGCGTTCCTGAAACTCTTCCAGAGACGCTAGACTCGATACGCGCCGTTCGTACCACTCGCGTAAATCGGACGTGCGAAAGAGTTCATAGTTTCTCGTATTCACACTTTTATTCGCGTGTTTATCACCCGACACAAATTCACCATTGAATATTGTGTTCACTTTTACAATTGTGTTTTTTAGAGTGTCCTGCACATGTTCTATCACAATGTCTTTGGCGTCATCGAGAAATTGGCGTGGTTCGATGTGATTATAGTTTATCACCGCATCAGTCGATACGCGACTCTCGAACGCTGTATCAATTTCGCGCCACATAAGTCCATTTTGACACGTACTGCATCCGGCACCCGCGTGTACGAAACGTCCACGAATTTTTCAAACCTTCGAGGCGTGCGATCTGAGCAATTAGCGATTGTCGATATCCGATCGATAATCGCGGTCGTTTGATTCGACTTTACTCTTCCGATGTACTCAACGACTCGATGTATTGGTCGCATCGTTGCTCGCACAATGTAGTCTTCCAACGAATCAAGCAAAGCGGATTGCTCTCGCAAAATTTGCTCCTCCATATTGCTAATGCACACTTGCAAAATTTAGCTTTTCTAATGATACTCCTGATGCACTTTAGCTACTGGTGGGGTGCGCCTCTCTATCATGATTTATATACCGTCTTATGCATTGTTTTATCATCGAACATTCCAGAAGGATTTCATCTTACAAAAAATTTCCCGTAGTACTGTGTGCAATTTGACCTTGAAAATTTCGCGTTTCGTCACGTACATTTGAAAAAGCTAACGTGATTGCATCAGGAACAGCCGTACATCGGCGCGACAAAATTTTAAAGGAAATTAAATTGTTGCGTCAGCAATAATCCCCTCTACATCGCAATTTACGATACTATTTGGATTGATATTAATTCTAATACGATTGCAGTATTGCATCAATCGCGCGTGTGAAAGGTTCACCGCTAAAGAAATATGAATTTCTACGTTCCGATTCGAAATGGTGAAACTTCGCCGTGTAAGAAATAGAAATGCGACACGTAAGTTTAAATCGTTTAAAAATTTTTCAATTCGTTTAAAATTTTCTTAAATATTGGTCTAATTATTTATATTTTATAGTATTCAGCTTCGTCATGCGGCTCGCATACTTGGAAGAAGATACGCTCTAACACCAACTTCGTAAAAGTATTTGGACATTGGAACAAGCGTTGAAGCTGTATCGTACGTGGAGCTGATTCTCGGTGACAATCGAGGCAATCAAATAGTGTTGCCTTTTTCAACGTGGAATTTGTTGATGCGGAAGCAAGCAGACATTGAACAATTTCTACAATCGACTGCTCGCCCATTAAGGATTGGAGATTTAATGATCGAAATGTATCAATCAAAAATTGTAAAACTCACATTATGTGGCAATTCTTTGTACATGAAACCAGAAACGTTATTACATTTATTTAATTTTGAAAATTGTATCGATCATATGCACAATTGGTTATGCGAGAATACGTATCTCGTAAATGAAAAATTTAAACAATTTGAAACTGTATTACAACGTAGTAATATTACTACTGTATGCGATGCTGTAAAAACGATACATGAGAGTGATGTTTTTAACAGCGAATCATTGATCATTGCGAATTATTAACATGTGCTGTAAATGATATTCTTTACGATGCGTGCAATAAATAATTATTTTGATTTCTATGATTTTATTTCTTTTCTTCCATACGAATAAGAATAGTCGACAATTTTTCTCAACACGCTCTGCTAAAGATGTAGAGAAATGCTGAGATAGATAAGACGCGATGCTCTAGTTGGAATGAGATGCAAGATATTAAAAGATATATAATGAAGAGGAATCTGCGGCATTAGAATGTTATTTCTTTGCGTTTCGTTCTTTGCGTTTCATTAGTCTTGTGTTTCGTTGATCTCCTACTATGACTGAAGAAGACGTTATCATCGGCAATGAAGATATGGATGTTGATGATGACTGGATGGATCCAGTTGTGGCAGAAAAAATTGAAATTGAGAGAGAGAGAGAGAAGAGCGAAATGGAAGAAATTGTATGCGAAGGAAGAATCATTCGATAAGGAACCTGATTTCGATTTTCAAACTATTTGTGATGTTGAAGAATTACTTCAGTATGAGCGGGAACAACTTTCGAAGAAGAATCTGGAAACTTCAGTTGTGCAATTTATAAAATATCAAGAGCTCGGCTTGAAAAAACCTCGCACAATTTCGTTGAAAAGATTTCTCAAATCTCGAAAATATTGGGCGATCTCAGTTGAAAAATGTGATATAAGTTGGTGCATGTACAGGAAAGATCCTAATCACACTGCAGTAAAATGTTTCGGAAATAGACTATGTGAACATCTTGAATTATGTAAAGGCATAGAAAAATTCGAAGATGTGCATGAGAATATGCTACGACATGATTTGAAAACATTGAAGGTAAAAATATTTTTGCCAATGTGTAATATATTTAAAACATTTACAATTATTGTGTTTAATTTCAGAGTTTACGAGAATATATGAATGGTCAACGAGAGGACCAGGAGCGACCTCCCCTTAGCCTGGTGCACCGTCCCCTAATTAATTTTATTATATTTTATATTTTATATTTCTTATATTTTATATTTAAAATTTTATTAAAAAGGTTAAATGAAATTGTGTAGTCGACCAAACCAGCCAGAAATATAATTTATTCAATACGACGTTTCGACCATATGGTTGTGGTCCTTATCAAGTATACACTGGAATAGATATATAAGTTGCAAAAATTATTATTTACATCTAATTTTCGGTTTGAACCGTAATACGCACAATTAATTTAGTTTAAACGTGAGAAAATTTAAATATACATACAAATTAGCCGAAGTAATGGTAATCAGAGTGTCGGCATAGATAATAATCTTGTACAAAGCACAAGTCACATTAACAAACTTTATTTTTAAAATTCAATTTTTAAAACCAATGAGTCCGTGTGGGACCTCGTCAAAGACTAAACGCGATCATAAGTAAAACGGAACTACATGACCTTTATTATTTTGTCATAAATGTTGTTTAAGTTTTCTGTGTCTTTTTGTAAGTTGATTAGGTTATCAAATCTCTTTATGAAAAACATCTCAGCAATTTCTCTTTTACGAACATACTTTTCATTGTGTAGGATGTTCGGTTTTATCCAATCAAAATCATGGCCAGATTCTAATCTATGCTTGCTAAGCTTGACACGATTTAATTCCTACGCACATTAAAACATTGAAAATTAGTATTGCGTTCCACAGCAATAGCATTAAACGCAGGTTTAACCTTTTTATAAAAACAAAGCAACACATGTTGTTGAATTTCGAGATTGAAGATCTTAACATCCATTTAAATTATTTACATGACAAAATTAAAAACATTGAAAAACGACTTTTTGAATGCCTACCACATGACATATTGACTACTTTTTTCGAATTAAATAAACATAGATTGACATCATTTAATTACAGTACAAAAAATAATTCAATTAAGAAATTTAACAACTTGGAACAAAAATATAACGAGCATCCGTTTTCAAAAATTGACAAATCTAAGTGGTTTGTGAACATCAGCAGCAAGGACATACCGGATACTGTTTCTGATGTGTTAAGCTTGGGTGACAATTTTGCGTTACCCATTGAACAGAAACAAAAAAATGATCGCAATAATCTTGTTTTGGACGTTGTCAAGAATTTCGAAGTGCATAGTAATATTCTGCCAACAGATACTATTGAAACAACTAGAATTTCTATCTCTAACATCCTTCAGAGATTTCTTGACAAGAATAAACGTACTAGTTATTCAGATAGATGTATTTTGCATTCTTACGCGGTCTCCAAGAGATATTTACGCGAAAATAAAGACATCACGAGAGCTGACAAAGATCAGATCACTGTCGTTATGGACAAGAGTGATTATTTCGACAAGATGGAATTGCTGCTGAGTGACACAACCACTTACAGAGAATTAAACAAGGATCCCTTGAAAAGATTAACCAATAAAATCAATGAGTTAGTCAAGTCTTGGCGTAGGAGCGGTTTGATCGGAGAGTTGACATATAAAAACTTAAATTGCACGAACGGAAATTTACCGCGATGCTACGGGCTGCCGAAGATTCATAAAGATGGTTTTCCGTTGAGAATCATAGTATCTGCTTTGGGAAGCCCAGTATACAATATCTCGAGTTACATCCACGATATCCTATATAAATCGATAAGAAAACCAAGTTCATATATCAAAGATGGTTGGTCTTTTGTCGAAATTATTAAGAACACTGATATTGACAAAGACAACATTATGGTTTCGCTGGATGTGGCTTCATTATTCACCAACGTCCCAAAAGATTTGGTAGTAAAGGCCATACGGAAACGCTGGGAAGATATTGCTAAGAACACTAAATTCAACCTTTCTCAATTTTTATTTGCAACGGAATTGATCTTGGATTCAACTTGTTTTGCATTTAACGGACGTTTTTATGAGCAGATCTTCGGCACCCCCATGGGCTCTCCACTTTCACCTATCTTAGCAGATATGGTAATGGAAAATTTGGAGATGCAATGTCTAAACTCATTAGGTTTTACCGTTTCTACTTATTATAGATTTGTCGATGACGTTTTCGCAATAGTACCACGCGCAAAAATCAACGAGATCTTGACAAAGTTCAACAATTATCACGAGCTTAAGATTCACTTATGAGACTGAAGTTGACTCATCCATTAGCTTTTTGAATGTAAAAATTATTCGGTCCGATAATAGACTTATCACTAATTGGTTCCGGAAACCTACATGGTCAGGGAGGTATATAAACTATCATTCGAACCACCCACAAAAGTATAAAATTAATACTATTTATAATTTAGTTGACCACGCGATCTTATTATCTAATGACTGCTTTAAACAAGACAACATAAAGCTAGTTTTTGACACGTTAATTAAGAACGGCTTTCCGGAACATTTTATATATAAACACATTAAAAAAAGACTCAACTTTTTAAATAATCGTGACCATAATGCTACAACGGACGTGAATCTTACTCGTTCTGATATGACTCGGTTTATCACAATACCATATGTCGAAAATGTTAGTCAGGATTTATACCGTCTCCTGCGTAATAGAGGCTTTAAGGTCGTGTATAAGATAATAAAGAAACTAAATAATTTAATTACACGGGGTAAAGATCGCTTACACGATAATGATAAAACAGGCGTTGTATACAAGTTAAATTGCAAAGATTGTAATTTAGCATATATCGGACAAACAAAAAGACATTTACGTACGCGAGTAAAAGAACACTGTAACAACATAAAATTACATGAAACTAATCATTCAGTAATTAGCAAGCATAGATTAGAATCTGGCCATGATTTTGATTGGATAAAACCGAACATCCTACACAATGAAAAGTATGTTCGTAAAAGAGAAATTGCTGAGATGTTTTTCATAAAGAGATTTGATAACCTAATCAACTTACAAAAAGACACAGAAAACTTAAACAACATTTATGACAAAATAATAAAGGTCATGTAGTTCCGTTTTACTTATGATCGCGTTTAGTCTTTGACGAGGTCCCACACGGACTCATTGGTTTTAAAAATTGAATTTTAAAAATAAAGTTTGTTAATGTGACTTGTGCTTTGTACAAGATTATTATCTATGCCGACACTCTGATTACTATTACTTCGGCTAATTTGTATGTATATTTAAATTATCTCACGTTTAAACTAAATTAATTGTGCGTATTACGGTTCAAACCGAAAATTAGATGTAAATAATAATTTTTGCAACTTATATATCTATTCCAGTGTATACTTGATAAGGACCACAACCATATGGTCGAAACGTCGTATTGAATAAATTATATTTCTGGCTAGTTTGGTCGACTACACAATTTCATTTAACCTTTTGAAAATTCGACTAGCGATTAAGCTATTTACAAATTTCTAAAATTTTATTATTATTCTTATCATTATTCATAATTTTAAGTACACACACACACACTCACTCACTCAAATTGTAAAATACACACACACACATTCTTAATAAATTTTATATATATTTTTGTTACGACCCTTGAGAGATTGGGCCATCTGGAAGAACGTAATCTACTCATCTGGTGACACACTTTTCGGGCGTGTATATGGATCTGGTCGAGCGCACTGTCCTGGAGCCTGACACAGGTCAGTGACTAAAATGGTCCCTTTAACTCTGTGAGTGTCTTAGGCCGTTACGCTCGATGGTCCCTTTTTGGTAAGAGATCGAATCTCTTTTACACGGGATGGGACCTTGTGCGATTTCGGAAATGAATGCAAGTGAGCGGGATAATGTAAATAAATTTACCCTTTATCAAAAATCAAAATTTATTCAGATGATTGACGGGTTTACAGAAAAATGTTTTTATTGTGTGTTGTGAATGTATATTTCGCGGGTGTTACAATAGTACGGAGGACATCAGCCAGGAATAATAAAAGGAGTTTTAAGGAAGCTAAATCCTGGCTGGATTTTAGAAATTTTGTTAAAATTCTAGATTTTTCCTATTAAATCTGTAAGGAAAGGATCTGGGAAAATAGATTAAGGAGGGAATAAAGGTCAAGGGTCATCAAACTGGATGGTGGATGGAGGGAATTTTCTTAACAAGGCTTGGATGGGAACGGCGAGCGGTAAATGTGATCCAGGGAGGTACCAAAGAATTATGGAGTCAGCAGGGGTAGTGGTTAAATAATGAAGGAATTCTTCGTGGTCCACATCACCGGGGCCCACGCAGAAAGATCCTTCTGGAATAGGGAAATCGAGGAGAGGAAACTGGGATATGAAGTAACTTAGTTGGTCATGATAGGAAGGTTCAGGTGTCGGACAGGGAGAGGATGTTCCGACGGGGACTCTGAGGGAAAGTCAAAAGGATGGGAGCTCTCGACAAGGTCGGAAGGATATCTTGCGAAATCCTTCGGATCCTCGAGGAACTCTGATGACTCTGAGGGAGTGGAAAGGGATGGAGGATCGGAGTCGAGGGTAATTACAGGTATGGGAGACAGAGATCGCGACTCGAATAAAGGTGAGGAAGAAGGGGAGGGAGAAGGTTTGGGTAAAATCGGGGTAGGAGATCGCTAAGGTGACGCAGAGGATGGTGGTGGGCTCGGGACAGGTGTGCCGGGGAAGAAGGGGGAAGGCGCTGGGGAGAAGATAGGGGAGTAACTAGGTGCAGGGATCGGGGGGGTTTCGCTGAGTGAATGTGTGTTAGTGTCACGGTGTGTGTTGTCAATGGGCGAGAGGTTAGTAATACTATTTGATCTATTGTGATGGGGGAATTCCGGCGTGGTTTGAGGCTGTTTCCCCTTAGAGCGCTTATTCCGGCGATTTCGCCATCGCAATGCAGCCCGGCGTTTACCGTGAGACACTAATAATAATTTCACGGTCAAGTAATTTATGAATTTGCAAATATAACCCTCCCTAATTCTATCTCTATTGTCATTGGGAGAAGATTATTCAAGATTAGACAAAATAATAATTAATCCCAAAAAAATTTACTTCTACTTTTAATTAGATGTATAGTTAAGAGAGTATTAACATATAGAAAATAAAAGAAATAACATAGTTCGAAATGAGTTCAAAAATAGTTGGAATTTTAAAGGAGTCGAAAGAAGAATCAGCTCTCGAAGATTTAATTAAGATTAGGAATTACTTGTGCACTATGTTATAGAGATTCTAGGTAAACAAGGAGTTGTTCGTGAATCGCCTTGCGGAGATTCTCGACGAACAGAGAATTGTTCGTGAACCGCCTTGCGGAGATTTTCGACGAACAGGGAATTGTGTAAAGGTGGATTAAGGAAAAGGAATGAGCCAGAGAAGAAAGTTTAAATAGTTGATTTGATGAAATGAGGATGAAATGAAGATGATTATTTTAAAATTAAAAAAAAATAAAAAAAAATAAAAAAAAGATATTTTTCCCAATGACAACTTAATCGTAGAAGGTTAAAGGGAGTATAATCAGATGAGACTTACTAATTATTGAGTGCGTCGACAAATGAAAGTTTCTGGTTTAGGTCGGAGCGTGAATTTGCAGTCCAACAACTGGTTGGACATCGTCAAATCGGTGACGTTGTCTGAGATTGATACTCAAACTGCACTTGTAACTATCACTGATTTGTAACTTGTAACTGACTGCTTTGCAATTCAATTAAACCGTAACTCTGACTATGTGCGGAGAAGAACAACCAGAAAAAAAATCCTGAGACTAACTGTGTGTCCGCGCTTTCGGCTCGTGAATTTTAAAGTTTTTGCTCCTCCTCCCTTCTGGATGGTGGGAATCTTTGAAAATCGAATCAAATGATTTCTATTACTCCCTTCTTAGGCCCAAGGAGTTAGATTTTCAGTAAGAGAGGAGTGTCTTAAGGCTCCAATTGGTTAAGCCCTTTTGCGCGAGATTTAGCTCCATCCAGTAAAGAGTGGGAGCGAGGAGCTGATTATCTTATCGCTTAACGATTTGACGATTGAGAATGGCCTGTCGAACGAGCGCACGTGGTATATTAATTTCCGAGGTTTGTTTTAAGTTTACCTTTGGTCAATTTCTCGAGGATCACAGGCTCTTTGTTTAAAATCTCTAAGATGAACCAAGATATAACCATAGATACGGATGGAATTACGAATCGAAATGGAGATACGAATCGAATTTCTTATACTTCCGAGTCTCATAATTCAAAAGTTTGTTTAGATTGTCCTTAGCGCTATCTCGACTGGTCACTCTCAATGTTTAGGCTAACTATTTATTTACACGAGTTAGGTTCCGTTTCCTTATTTCAAATTCGAGCCTATTTTTAATTACTTCTAAGATTGCGTTTCGATGAAAGAAAAGAATCGTGAAGTCCACAGGACGTAATATTTTAATTTAAAAAAAATCTAATTATTTATGCGCCTCTCCTTACGTTCCCATCCCTGCATCTCTCTCGCGCTAGTTATAAGTATCGCGATATCATTCTCTCTCTCGTGCGTTAATCATAAATCTCGCGCTAGTTGTGAGTCTATCTCTTTCTCTCGCGATTAGAATAAGTAATCTCTCTCTCTCTTGCTATGACAGAAAAAAATGTAACAGATTTTAAAATAAAATGTATATTTGTAATTCTAAAAAAAACTAATTATTTACATGCCTCTCCTTGCGTCCCCATCCCTACATCTTTCTTGTGCTAGTTATAAGTATCGCGTTAATCTTAAGTCTCTCTCGCACGTGTTGTCTTCGCGGTATTGTTCTCTCTCGCACGCGTTGGCTTAGAATATTATCGTTCTCTCTTCTTTGATATACTCGTTGCTCACTTACCTTTGCGTTGTCCTTCTCACACCTATGCATTGTCCTTGTCCAACGATGACATCATCCTTGTCGCACGCTGATGACATCCTCGTTGCACTCGTAGCACTATCCTTTTCCCGCACGTAGCGCTGTCCTTCTCACACCACCGTCTTCTTTCCGCGGATCTCCCTTCACTGCGCGGATCCCCTCGTCCATCGCTCGCGCCACGGATCCCCCTTCACTGCGCGGACTCCCTCGTCCATCGCTTGCGCCGCGGATCCCCCTTCCCCGCGGGTGACGTCACCCACTGCACGTCACGGTTCTTCCTTCCCCGCGCGTGACGTCACTCCCCTCGCGCCTCACCCCCCCTGAGAGGACCAGAGTTAGAACTCTCCTATAACATCTACTCATATACACAGT